GGCTAGAAGGGGCGCAGCCCCTGGAAAGCCCCACTATACCCAAAAAAAACTCATTTTATACTTCAATTATACTAAACATCTTCGGGGCTAGAGGGCACGAAGTGCCTGGAGGCCCCACTACCTTTTTTTTTTTTTTTTTTTTTTTTTTGTATATATTTATATATGTATATATTTATATATGTATATATTTATATATGTATATATTTATATATGTATATATTTATATATGTATATATTTATATATGTATATATTTATTAGAAACTGCTTCATGCTGTGTTGAGTATTGTTGAATTGGAAACTGCTTCATGCTGCATTGAGTATTGTTGAATAATTTGAAGTAGTGGTTTTTGAAATCAGCACCCCTATGAGAGCGCTGGCGACCGAAACACCACTAGTAAGATTGTGTATTAGAAACTGCTTAATGCTGTGTTGAGTAAGCTTCGATGTCTTTGTAGGATAGCTTTCTGAGAGCGAAACAAGATAGTGTTGAAAAAAAATTTTGAAAATCTGAGAGACTGTGCAAGAGCCAACGACCAAAACGCTACCAGTAAGATACAGCAGTAGTAGCTGCTTCATGCTGCATTGAGTATTGTTGAATAATTTGAAGTAGTGGTTTTTGAAATCAGCACCCCTATGAGAGCGCTGGCGACCGAAACACCACTAGTAAGATTGTGTATTAGAAACTGCTTAATGCTGTGTTGAGTAAGCTTCGATATCTTTATCAGACCACCTTTAAATTAACCACTCACATTCTCACTGTGGTCCATCTAAAATTTGTAAACTTTATGACATAAAATTATATTATATGCAGGATCCCACCTATTACTTAATCTTTTTGGAATAAATGTTTTATAATATTTATCGATTGATTGTAATTTTTTGTATAAAAAAAGTTTTTTATTTATATTAAAAATATATTCGGTTAATGATATTATCTTATAATTTGTAAATAAATCTAGTAATAAAATAACTTTAATAGTTGGTGTCACTTTTTCGAAAATTCTGGTTTTTTCTGTTCCACCTTGAGTCACAACACTTGCCCCGGCTAATTGTGAAGAACCTGGGATAAGTACTCCATGAAATGATTTCATTGGTATCATTAATTTAGAAATAGTTGGCTTAATTAATTTTGTCATTTATGATAAAAATAAAATTACATAATTTAAATTTTTTTCTTTCTCATTTTCTCATTTTCTCATTTTCTCATCCTGTTTTGGTTTCAGCAACTTTTCAAGTTGTTGTCTTGTCAGTAACTTTAATTTTAACTTTGGATCAAATATTGGGTTTCCATCTTTATCTCTTCCAATAACACCATATGGTAGAATCTTCATTTATACTAAAATAAAAATTTAAATTATACCGTTCGCTCTTTTGGAGCTCAGGACTTTCACTCCGTTCTAAAGTTTGTTTCACAAACATTGAGCGTTCATTGAACTCTATACCATGCGAATACAGTCATAAATGGTGGCATGTATTCTTTACTTTGTCCCGTTGTTTGTGTATATCCTGAAACGAAATGTGTATGGTTTCCTTCTCCCTGAGTGTCACTCCAGTAACAATTTATAGCAAACTTAACGTCATCTTTAACATCATATCCTTTACCTTTTGTCATTCCTGACCAATCCCAATATCTATGCTTATGCCAACCTGCTTGAGATGTACTTAAATCTATGTAGTGACTGTGTGCAGGTAAATTTTCACCTGAAATCGTTTTACTTCCACCTGTTTCCTTTGAAGAGTTTGCACAATACAAAAACCTGTCGACTATTTGTTCCCATGCACCAACACCAAACATTACTTGAGGACCTCTTGCATCCATAGATGTATAAATAGAACCTACTGGGTTCATTAAATCAAACATATGAGATATTATAGGATTGTCTCTTTTGAACTTAAAATATAGTGCAACTATTTCAGGTTTCTTCTGGTTTGTGTCAGAATATTTTTTATAATATAATCTTATGTTTTCAGGGTAGGTAAAATCTTGACTATAATATTTATTTCTGTCATCTGTATAATAATATACTATTCTCATTTTTTCTATTGCATTATATCTTTTATATTTATAATAATCTAAATATAATGTTAGCTTTTGTTCATCTACATGTGGTGTTCTGTTGTCATCTCCATAGTCATAATAATATGGTGCTGGAGCTAGGTTAGACAATGTCATATCTGTCATTTCATAAACTCTTAAATATTTCTTTTGTTCGTCTCCATATAAGTTTAAGTAACAGTTGTTGACTAATGGAACTTTAACTCGTGTGCCATCATTCTTTTTATAACTTACATACATTTCATTGTTATTTTTCGGAATGATTTTACACCGTGTACCATTTTTTAAGGACTGTACAAACTGCCATCTAAAATATTTATTTTCTTCATTGACCGAAAAGTCACCAACAATAGTTTCAATATTTTTTGTTGTTCCTATCAAACTTTGGTATATTTCGTTAACATATTCCTTATCTGCTTTCTTCATTAACTCATCGTTAACATAAGTTTTATCCGCTTTAAGGTCTAAACATCCTGAAACCCATCCTGTATCAGCTTTAGTTTTAAAAATCTTCGATGTCCATTCATGATACCATTCAACCCTTTCTTTAATTTCATTATCTTTTTCATCCACATATTCCTTATCTGCCTTCTTCTCTAACTCACTAGCCACATATTCCTTATCCGCTTTCTTCATTATGTCATTTAGGAAACCTTTTATGAATTCCTCATTTAAATTAAATCTTCCAATCTTCAAAACTTTGGGAAATGCATTTAATGCGTAATATCTTTGTTCTTCTGGTGGAATTGATGTTATATCATCCGTTATACCTTTAATTTTAGAATTCATAAATAAAATTTCTTTTATATTTGATATCACTGCACCACCTTTGCAAACGAATTCGAAATGGTCATTTTTCAATACTATCTCCAAATCTCCATATTTTAACCTTTGCGTTTGTTCTGCCATCTTTGAATTATATGCATATATGGCGTATGTAATGGTCTGAAGGACCTGGGTGCTTTGCGCCTTAAGTTGTTGTGGTTGCTGTTGTTTAATCATTTATTATGATTTAAAAATAAATATTTAATCCGTTATCTCATCAGCTATTTTCTCTATTTGAAATTGCCATAATATTTCATTCATAAATTCTAAATCACAATCAAATAGGTCAGTTATTCTAAATTTAATATTTGATAAATCTTTTGAATGAAGAATAAATGAATTCCCGGATAATTGAAACGGATATGATAAAGAAAATGTGTTTAAGTTGATGGATAAAATGTTTTGTATTGATGGGTAAGAGTTAGGGTCTAATGTTTGATGTGAAAATCTCATTGGGGTATTAACTTTATCACATTTGATTAAAATGAAATTGGAACCAGTGTCAGAATACAAAACATCCCAACATCTTTTTCAAAATTTAATATCCCCAATAATGAACGAAGGTGAGGAGTACAAAATTTAATTTTCAGCGGAAATTTAATAAGGTTATTTATTTCATCAAGTTCAAAAAGTTTATCAGGTTTTGATTTAAAATTTTCTTCATACCATACGATAAATGATTCATTTAAATAACTTAAAATCATGTTAATATCCCATTTCGCTATCACATTATTTATATACATATCATACGTTTTTTCATGGTCATCTTTAATAAATGATATATAATCTGAAGGGTCTAAAAGAATGGGATTAAATTTACCACTCACAGAAACGAGAGTAACATTATAAATTCCACTAACTGTTAAATTTAATTCACAACTATTATTCGAAATAATATTGATAATTGACATTTTTTATTACGATTAAAAATATGGTAAAGCGTTATTTTCCAGTGATAAATAAAACTAGAATAAGATTACCTCAAGAATTCATAAATTCAACGAATAAGAAATTCATTCATGTTATAAATTTTAGTGTTTTCAGAAAATATGAGTCGGTGTCATATTCATCAACAGGTTATATTTCACTTCATTCAAATTTAGTTCAATCAAACCCATATAATGACCATTTCATAAGATTTTCAGATGGTATTAAAAATGCAATTGATAGATTAAAATATGAACAGATTGACAATATCGAATTTTTGGAATTTTGGTTTAAATATCCCGATGGAAAAAAGATTGAAGTTAAAGATAAAGCTGATACTATAACAAAAACAATTACAATGACCGATCCGGATAGTGGGGAACAAAAAGAAATAAAACAAACGATAGAAACTGGTGAAAGGTCAATTATTATTGATTATGATTCAAAGGATTATTATTCGTTAATGTTAATGCTTGAATATTAAATAGCCTTAACAAAGAATTTTTCAAGTGATATTTTATATTCATCAACTATTTTATTATAAATATCATTATATGTTAAATGAAGTTCAGTTGTTGTTCCATTCTTTGATATCTTAATTGTGCTAATATCCTTTATAGGATTTATTTTTGCAACTGTTCCGCAGCATGAAACCTCATCATCTATGAAAAATTGAATCTTAACGTCTGAATCTTGAACATCACAAAGAATGGCGATAATGTGAATTAATGATTCATAAGGTAAAATAATTAAACCGGATTGGTCAATTAAATTTATTATTGAATCATAATTATTAATTATTATATCACGGTAAATTTTCATTAATTCAAAATTAATGTCTATTTTATATGGGTTCTCGATGTTTGATGAAAGAGGTGGGGGGTATGTTGGATAAGTGGGAATTTCAACGGGTTCTTTACCGGGTTCAGATAAAATGATTGGGTCTCCATTCTCATGGTTTTCTTCATTCTCCTCATTCTTCGGTAAGTCACGAGTTAATAAATTTGGTTGAGTTGCTGACCTTGTTAATTCAGGGCTAACATTAACTTTAACATTTTGAATAATTCGTGATTTATCATCATTTACGTTATAACCAACCGTAATCTCTGCTTTTGCGTTTGTGTTCTTTTGACTTGTGAAACGTCTTCTCATTTATAATCGAATAAAAAAAAGAAAAATATATTTAAAGTTTTATTTTGCTGGAACTTTTGAATCTATTATCCCCTGTATTTGTTCATGAAGTTGATTTTTAGCTGTTTCATCGAAATTAATAGACCGAATATATTCATTAATTGCATTCTTATAATCAACTGATTTCTCAAATTTTCTTTTATCTGATTCCTTAACTAAATCATAAGTTAAACCTCGTTGCTGATATAATGGTTTCTTAATTAAATCTTTGAATGCTTGAGATAAAGCACCTGATGCAATTCTTGCTACTATAATTGGTTGGAATTGTTGTTTAAGTTCATCTTTAACATTTGCGAAAACTGGATCGAATAAAGCAACTTTAAAGAATTTCTTAGCTGAAATTTCAGGTCTAATATTTGCATATTGACCATCAAACTGGTTAGAATATCGTGGTAATCCATCCGGTCCCTCTTCAATAGCATTTAATTCTTCATTGAAATAAGAATATGGATTATGACGGTATGAATTAATTGGACCATTTTCACCTTCTCCAATGTATTGTTTAACAGCTTTTCCATTTTCATCAAATTGCATAGGATAACGTTCATTATATGCTTTACGTTTAGGATAATCAGATATACTTAATTTATAACCATTTATGACTTTAATATTACCTTGACCATCAGTAACGAAAACTTCATTTATACCATCAGGTTTTCCATTTGGACCCGTAATGTCTGCTTCGTGTGCTGAGTATATAAGAATTTCCGAAAAAGTGACACTTTCAATAGGGAGTAACACTTAAAAAGTGACAATTTAAAATTCACAATAAATAAAAATAATAAATTTTTTAGTCTATTAAATTATTCTTTTCTTTAAAATCCTCTAAAAATTCTTCGAAATGTTCTAAAATATAATCTGGAGAATTATAACAAAATTCATTAATTTCTAACATATACGTATCTAACAATTCATTTGGAATTTCAAACGATCTTAAATATGTAATTGAATTTTGTATCTTCTCATTTATTTGAGAAAGTTTTTCTTCAGCATTTTCCAATAAAAATCTTAATGGATTCAAATTGGCTTCTTGATTCTGAACAAAATTTAATACTTGGTATAAACGTGATTGAACTTCTCTTTTCAATTTTGTTTTATAATCTGTCAATCGAGGCTCGCGAATTCTAATTGAAGGAATAAAACCTGTTTGAAGTAAATCGTTTTTAATACGATAAAAGTAATTGGGTGCAACTTCTTCTAAAAGATTTTTGACAAAAACATCAATTCTTTGATTTTTAACGCAGCCAAAATCGTGATATTTTATCTTTTTAAATAAAGATTCAGAAACGTTATTCACAACGGTTAATTCATTTGGTCTGGCAGCGGCTATCCACATCATAGCCAACAATTCCTTATATAAAGTTCAAAAACTTGGGTGCAATCAGTTCTGATTGCACCCAAGTTTTTGAACTTTCTCGAGGGAATGAAAGGGTAAGAGGTATACATTATGAATATATACCTCTTACCCTTCCATTCCCTCTCTGACAGCGGAAAACTTTGTCTGAATGTTAAACTATTCAGACAAAGTTTCCCGCTGTCAGCGAAAGAATTGTTCCATCTGGTGCATAGAGTGTGAATCTATGCACCAAATGGAGCAAGTCCCTCGCGAAATTGCCAAAACTTGCGTCGCATTTCAAAGATTGCGACCCAAATTTTGGCGATTTCTAGTAGAGATGGAGTATTTTGAGTCACTAACCTATATGCAGTGGCTCAAAGGGCTCCATCTCTACTTTGAAGCAAGGAAACTTTCCTCGAAATTTTGATAATTTGAAGAAAGTTTTCAAGCAATTAACAAAGGATTACTCGCTATGAGGTAAAAATTCTAGATTTTCACCTCATAGCGAGAGCTTCCCTTTCATTGCTTGAAAACTTTCCCCAGCTTCAAAATTGGGGAAAGGGCTGTAAAGTCGACTCCGATACCAGCAGGTACCAGAGTATTTAAAAGAGAAGCCCTCGTACGAGTTTCTATGAAGACCTTCTCATTCAAGAAGATCTGAATAGAAAATCGTACGAGGGCATTGGAAACTCGCGTCTGGTACATGTTGGTACCAGAGTGTTTGAGATTTGAAGACTCTGGTACTAACATGTACCAGAATTTATGATGAATTTAAGATGGACCATTATAAAATGGTAGCGGTTTGTTTCAAAAAATTTTAGATGAGATTTGCATAGATATAGATTATATGATTTATACATATGAAAAATAATATATAAAAATATAATTTTGAGATAATTATGTAAATAATATTTTAAATATTTGAATTTGAGGTATAATTTTATAGTAAAATATATTATAAAGAGTATTTATATAAATATTGTAAAATAATATAAGTAATAAAAATTGAGACCCCCTCCCTGTTTTTGATGTTTTGTCACTTTTTCGGTAATTCTTATTGTTTCACTTTAATATTACCTTGACCATCAGTAACGAAAACTTCATTTATACCATCAGGTTTTCCATTTGGACCCGTAATGTCTGCTTCGTGTGCTTCCCAATTTGGACCATGACGTTTGGCATATGCTTGAGCTTCTGGTAATGTTAAAACATTTCTCATTTGTTTAACATCTTTTTGAAGACCAGCAACAATATGAATTAATTCTTTCATTCCATCAGGAACTTTCATGGTTCTATTATATGCACCCTTTTGTTTGTCCCTTGTTTTAATGGAACTTGTAAAAGATTTGCTATTTCTGTCATGTTTAATTATAAATAAAAAATAAAAAATAATTATAAAAAGTTAATCAAATTTAACACCTCCTTTATTTAAATCAACTATTATTTTTCCATGTTCACCTAATTGCTGATATTGTGTGTAAAGTTCATTAATGCTCATTGGTAAATTCACTTGATAAAGCATAACGTTCAACTGTTGACGACTAAACCCACTGAAAATGAAAAGTGTTGATAGATTTGATTTAATGTTTGTGCTTAATGCTTTGAAATATTGAACAGCCATGAAGAATGAACACTGAATGTGTCGACATTGAGTTAATAACTGATTAAAATATGATTTCTCATTTGTTATTAGTTTTGATTTCACTGCATCATCTAGAAAAATGAGTGAATGCAAAAATTCTTTATCAAAATTTGAAATGGAAAGTGTTTCAAATAATTCATCCCGTTGTTTATCAATAATTTTATCCTCTAATCCTTGCTTCTTGATTGTATTATATAATTCTTTATACATTAAAAAGTTTTTAAATAATCTTCTGCTTCTTCTTGTGATAAATAAATAATTGGAATTTTGATTAAATGCTTTAAAGATTCAAATGTATCATCTGAAGGTGAACCTGAACGGTTGATATAAATTAACACATGTGAATAGGGGGAAGTGTTAGCAATAATGATAATTTGTTTTAATATCGTTAATGTTTTACCTTTATTTTGTTTACCAATTGCTGCAGTGATTGAATTTAAGTAACATTCAGAATATGGAATTTTCATTAATTTTTCCTTAGATAGAGCATTTCTATTATCACTCAATGCTTCATTAATCATATCATCTACGTATGTATTATATACTCCTGCTAATTCTTCATAAGGGGTGGATGAATTTAAATCCATTTAATCAAAAATAAATTTATAATTTTAAACATTTCTATTCATCAATATTTCATCATATGAACTTCTATACTGCGGTGGTGTACCTGTTGAATGATATTTCAAACCTTCATCTGGTGTCCATGTCCAATATGTAGTCCTAGTAAACCAAACCTGAGGAGGATTTGTCACCTTTGAACAGTAAGTGTCATTTTCACCCTGAATGATTGGATAAGCTTTCACTTGTACTGTAACTTGTGAGTTGAAAGTTTCTAATCCATCAAAGAATATACCCGCTCCATCACGTTGAACTGGAATAGTGCATAAGAATGAAGTTTGGTCTTTCCATGTTCTAGCTAATGGTATGCCATCATCATCATTCAGTGGTCTAGTTAATGAGTCCTCGTATTCTTCTGTGCATTCATTCACTCCATCTAAATCAGAAGCTTGAAGCATACGTGTAAAGAATATGTCACCCACTGTGGTCATCGCTTGATCGGGGAAGTTTCTGGAATCTATAGTGACCTGAAGACTCGAAGCATTGGATTTTCTAAAACTGTTCTTTGCATTGCATTCTTCGGAAATGTTAACACAACATCTGTAACGTTATGAAGAGCGTATGAGAAATCTGAGCTAATACCTTCAGGAGTGATGCAACCTCCATTTAGTGAACGAACGTCAATATGTTGAGCTGGAATCATGAATGGATCTTCCTTACTAAATAAACGTGTATTGCTTTAACTGATTCTTCAATTAAACCGTATCCTGGTGTAATGCATTTATCCTCTAAAACTTCCATCTTTGTGCATGAAATAATAACGTCATCAACTGTTGCCTCAGCAGATGTAGCGGCTAAGCTTGTAATTAATTTGGCAGGAAGTCCGATTTGTTGGAATTTGCGATCATATTTATAAACATGATTCATAATCTTTTCATAATTTTCATCAGTTATCTTTTCATAAACGTAATTTTGTAAATCAGCAACTCTTAACGGGTCAACCTGACAAAATACTAAAGTATCCCTGAAAACATAATATTTAAGAATGATATCACCAAATGATTTAGGATAATCATCGAACGCCTGAAATGCTAACAAATCATTTACCGGAATAATCATATCAAAAGTGACATCAACTTCTTCATTTGCGTTCTTGAAAACTTCTGAAGGGTCAATATATTTACCACATACTGAGTTATCATATTTTTGAACATTATTATATAACGAATGAACAAACTTTTTAACTTTCCTTTCTGATTTTGGTTTATATGTTGCAAATGCGAAAGATTCACGGGCGCAATCCATCTGAAGATAACCGGCATCACCTCTTTCGGTTTCTACTTCTAATTGTTTAAAGCTTTGATTTGATGATTTGTAACCAACGAATAAACGCATGCATTTAAAAGCGGCATCACATGTGAAAGCTTTATTTGAAACAAGAGTTGCTTTAACTTTGCGTTTAATATATGTGTCACCTAATTGGTTCACATCATGAGCCGGATTTGTAATTCTTAAATGAGTTTGTTTATCATCAAAATATGGAGCATCAGAGTCATAGCATGAACTTTCAAGTTCTCTATAATATCTTCTACCGTCATTCTTTGCGAATATTTCATTTATTTTCGAATGAATGAAACACATTTCCATTAATTGGTTTAGTGTTTGGCACTAAATAGTTAGTCGTCATTTATTAATAAATAAAAAATCAAAATTAAAAGATGAAAATGAATTTTTAATTTTAATGAAATAATCAACTATGGCTGCAGGTATATTTAAGAAACTGTGGGATAAAGTAAAAAGAGGAGCGAGTAAAGTTTGGGAAACATTGAAGAAGGGAGCAAATTGGATATTTAAGAATAAAGAAGCAATTAGTGACGTTGCTGAATCAATAACACCAAAAGCTGCCCCAATAAGAGAAATTTTAAATAAAGGAGAAAAAGTTTATCAAAGACTACAACCAATACTAAGATAAAAATAATTTTAAAATAATTTATTTTTCCACTATCTACCTCCTATTTTATTAAGTATTCCTTCAGCTATTCCACCAATTGCGTTACCTGCTTGTGCTCCCATCGCCGGATTACCTGCTTTAGTACCTAATACTCCACCTATGATAGTTCCTGCCGTTTTCGCTACTGGTGCCAAAAAGTTTGCAACAGGTTTAATAACCTTTTTATAAACCCAACCCGCAGCTTTCTTAATTCCATCCCATAATTTTTTAAAGAATCCTGCCGCCATTTCTGATTTAACATTAATTAAAAAATATATTTCATCATTTATATTCTAATTTTTATTTAATGATAAATGAAACCGATTTTAAGAATAAATGAAACAAAGGAGGATGAAATAAATGAAAGTGAAAATGTTCAACAAAAAATAAACATTGTTAAACCAATTACTGAAATAAAAATTTTTTCATCTGTTGAAGAATTTAATGACTATTATGCTAATAATAAAAAATTATTTGAAGAATTGACAACGTGTAAATTGAATAAAATGTTTAAAGTTGATGGATTCAAAATTTCAAAAATAAAGGGGGTGGTTAGTTTGAAATCTATTCCTCAATCAAGAATCACCTCATTAATGAAAATTGATGATTTAACAAAAAGAATAGAAGAGATTGAAGAAAGAATGAATCAAATAATTAATTTCATAAATTCAAATAATCATTAGTTTCTAATTTATTTTTCTCATTTATGAGGTCTTTGATTATGACTCCATTGATTCCATTCATGATTTAAACAATGTTTAATTAATCGCGGAATATCTGACATCATCTATATATATATATAGCTTCTTTTATAAATGATGAAATATATTTTAAAATTAATGTTAATTTTTTTAATGTGTTTATTACATCATTTATGGGCTGAGTGTAAATGTCTTACAATTTTGAACATTTTTTTAAATCTTGATTTATTCAAAAACGTAAAGGTCAGGTCTGTGGGGCTTCCAGGGGCTGCGCCCCTTCTAGCCCTAAGAAATTTTGCCCAAGACCCAAGAGGAGGACCGAACCCCAGCCGACCAGCCGGTGACAAAACCAAAACCGTTGTTATTTACATCATATTAATGGTGTCATATAAACATCTGTCAAAAACCACTTTTTAACTTCACTTAAAATGCCACGTAAGCTACGTAAGAATATACGTAAGAGGAAGGGAGCATTGAAACATCCAATAGTAAAACTGACACCACAACAACAGTTGCAACAACAAATGATGAATGACCCCACTATGTTGCAACAAATGTCAAGCAACCCTATGCTTTTAAACCGAGTTATTGGTGCACAGAGTGGAGGTTTAAGAGCGGCACTTTTAGCGAAAATGGCAGGCTATGGTGGAGCTGCAGACGGAACAGCTTATAACCCTCAAAGTCAAATGAATTTGAGTTCACTCAAAAATCAAATAACAGATGTCAAAAAGTCAAACATAGACATACAGAAACAAATAAGTGAAAACGAAAAGAAACTAGAATATGACAGACACACAAAGAAACTCAATGAGTTAAACGTAGAGAAAAAGAAGAAAGAAAGAACAACTGAAAGAACTAAGTACAGAGGAATATGCGAAAAAAGTGTCAGAAAAAGCAGCAGAAGTAGCAAAAATGGAACAAGATGTTATAAATTTGAAAAACCATACTACTCAATATAAAGTACTGAAAGATGAAGAAATAAAACAAAAAGCCCTGAAGACATATATGGATAGCGATGAGTATAAAAAAGAAGTTGAAGCAAATGTAAAGGCAGAAAAACTTTTACAGTTGCAAAACCAAACCGTACAGTATGAAAACTTAGCACAAGAAAGTAAAAATAACGACGCAGCCATGCAAAAGGCAATGAAAAGCGCAGAATATATAAAAGCTAATAATGACTGGTTAGATGCCCAAGCCAACGCTAAAGCAGCCCAACTTATAGGGTCAATAAGGACAAAAATACAAGCGGATGAAGACAGTTCAAATGAAGCTTTAATGAATGCTGACTTTAAGAACGCCTTCGAAGCTCTTCATAGTAAGGTGAAACAAGTGAACGACTTCTCATCTGGAAAGAAACTGAAGTCTGAAGGTTTCGACAAAGAGTTAAGAGAAGTAGCACAAAATATGACGAAAATAACAGATGCAGCAACGAGACAGGCAGTTCAAAGTGCCTATGACGCCGTTAGAGCAACTGTTGTGGAAAGTCAAGAAAAAGAGTTACAACAGACCAAAACAGACCTAGTAAATGCTTTCTTAAAAACGAAAAGTCAGGTAGGACATTATGCTGCAGATGGAACATATGTGCCAGCTGGTGGAACTTATATACCAGCTGGTGGAACTTATATACCAGCTGGTGGAACTTATATACTAGCTAGTGGAACTTATATACCACCAAACCCTCCAAGAGAAGCACCTGCACCAGGACTACCCAAAACATTTACATCGTCACATGGACACAGACACAGGCATGCACCAAAACAACAACAACAACCAACAGTTCAAAATCCAGCACCACAACCAACAGTTCAAAACACTACACAACAACCAAAACCAGCACCACAACCAACAGTTCAAAACACTACACAACAACCAACAGTTCAAAACCCTGCACAACAACAACCACAAACAGAGCAAGGACATAAAAGAAGTAGAGAACAAGGAAACCAAGAATTCTTAAAAATGCTTAAGGAAGATTATGGTTACCCAGATACTCTTGACTTTAGTGACAGATATAAAGAAGCTATTAAAAAGTTCAAGGAAGGAAATACTGACCCGAACCTATTTAGCTTTATGGTTCAGCACCAAATGGGATATAATTTCAAACCTGGAAAATACAAGCTCGCTAAGGGATATGATTTAATAGCATATCATCCAAATGACATGAATGAATTTACTCCGAGATATTTGATGTCAGAGCTAAATGATAATTCAACTCTCTTCATGAAACGCGTAAAAAATAGAGACGGAACGAAAGAAGAAAGGTTTATGAGTCCGGATGACTTAGATAGGGAACTTTTTAAAAACGGTCTCGGAATATATGAAATGCCACCAGATGAGGTACAAGAAACTCAACAGGAAGAAGTTCAGATACAACCAGACATGGAAGAAATAGTTCAGCAACAACAGCTAGAAGAGCCTGAAGGAAACGAACAAGTTCCTCCTTTGGAAACTAACTTCACAGAACTAGATGAAGATTTGGAACAGCCGAAAAATCTTGACCCTCAACAAGACTATGAGGTGAATATGGAATCTTTCCAAGAGTCTAAGAAAAATTCGGCTGACATAGTAGAAGAATATCGAAAAATGTTCGCCGACATACAAAAGACTCCAACATCAGATGAAAATATTCAGCATAGAATGGAAGTACTGAAAGAAAATGTACGCAAATACAACAATCCTTTTTACTTACGACCATATAACGTTCAATCTTTGGCTGAACTCGGTGAAAATAAAAGGTTAAATTTCAACAAAACATATAGAAATGAAACATTGTTTAAAGTTCATTCAGAACCTAGCCAATATGGAAACAAACCTACTTTTGTTTCTGCAGACTATGGAACTACAATGAGATGGGGTCATAAAGCTAATCCGGATAGGTGGTTCATAAACTTACAACCTCAATTCCAAGAAGTTGTAGACGCAATGGAAGTGAATGGTGAACCAGATATAGCTGGTATTTTCAGCGCGGCTTTAATGCCATTGAAAGATATGAAAGATGCAGATATTTTGGACCAGTATGAAATGAACATGGCTGATGGAAATATAACACCTGACGTTCTAGAACATTTATCTCAAAGAACTACACAGAACCATAGAGATGGTATATTTGGTGAAGAGTTTAGAAAGAAAGTTAGGGAGAGAGAAGGAAGAGAACCTATTGTACATGACCTTGCAAACGAAAGTTTGCAAAATGTCATAAAAACTTACTTTGCAGACAATGAACCGAGAATGGATGAATATTTAAGAAAACTCAAATGGACAGTACCAAATGAAATGTTAGTATTGAAAAACATGTTCCTTGACAAAATAAAACCAACTACAGAAATAAATGACGCAAGACTGAAACATTGGGTAAAAGCTTTCCCATTCACAAAAGATATTATTGGTAACATGGAAAGAAAACCAGAATGGCTACAAAAACATATATTTGGAAACGAGCTTATTCCATATGGACAAGCTCTGTTTGAAGAGCTTGAACCGGAAACTCAGGAAAGAGTCATGCAAACAATACGCGAAGACTCAAATACAAACTATGACAAAATCTTTCTAGGATATAGGTTACCTGAGATGGGCGACCAGAGCCCAAAGGCAAAAAGGACATGGGAAATTTACAACATACTAGGTGAACATGAGGCAAAGATGCAACAACTTGAAGCAGAGGGCAAGTTACCAAAAGCGACACCAAAGAAGAAGAGTAGAACAAAGTGAAAATAGTGAAGAAGTAACTTCATCTAGTGAAAGTAGTGGCAATGAAGGAAAAAGAAGAGTTAAAAACTCAGTCAGGAAGAAAGTAAAGCTTGGTACGAGTGGGTTCTATTATGACATATAAATCCAACTATTCTATATTTTTACCCATATGAAATGTACGCCGCTCAGAATATAACGCCAACAGTTTTGGATGCCATGAACGGAAATGTTTCCGAATGGTATAACGAATGCGACAATGCCATTAGAAGGTCAGAAATAGTTCCTGGAACTTACGAATATACAACTGCTGTTTCTTATGGAAACGTAGGTGAGTTTGGAGAAGGTTCTTCAACAACAGTAGATATTGCTTGCGACAGGTTTCATATTATTTCTATTGACAACTCATTCTTATACGTGGAACAAGACATTGAAATAAAACCTTCTGCCAAGTTGTCTGACAAGAAAGGTTGCAATGGAATTTTCTATGTCGGATACCAATATGCTCCAGAAGTTTTCATGGGATATAAGATATATTCTAACTCTGACTTAGTTCAAACAGTAACATGGGCAAACTATGAATGGTTCGCTTTGAGAAACTCAGTACAACCACAAGCTAGAGAACAAACAGACCAGTATGCAAATATTGAGAAAATAAGAAGACTTGACCCTAACGTTCCAGGAGTTTATGTTAACCTTTCTGGTTCAGATGGAAATGCTGCCACTAAAGTAAAACTGAAACTTAGAGTTCCTTTGTCATCTTTCCTCATCTTCAGGTTTTTAAGATACTTGCCAAACTGGGCAGGAAAAATTTCTATCGAACTTACTCCAAGCAAAAATAACTTAGTCATTGCACCAACACAAGACCCATTCACTATTACAGACGTAAAGGGAACAAATAAAACATCATTCGCCGAATTTTGCAAAGACAAAGTTGACTTAGACTTTGGTTTCTCAAACTTCAACAATGAAGTAAACTATTATTTCAATGCTGCTGGAGATGCTTGGGACCCAGTTAAGTTCACATGCGAAAAATTTGAATGCAAGAGAATAGAAAGCAGACTTGCAGTCTATATGTTGGACCCAGATATTTCAAATGCTTTAGCTGCCAAAATATATTGCAGTTCCACTTATGTTCCCTATACACCAAATATCTGTCAAAGACTTTGCAGGTGAAGTTGGAAACCAAAGTGCTGACCCAGGTGCAAGAACAGATATTGCTTTAACAACTGCAATGAAACATGCAGATACTATGTTTGTACTGTTCAGACGAACTATAAATGACTATTCTTGTTTCTACAACCCTGGTATTAAATATCATATAAACATAGATGGCAAATATTATCCAAGAGAAGAATATTCTACAGTTGAGGATATGAGGTCATACAACTTGACATTAGATGCTATGAACTTTAACAACAACTTCACAACAACCATTAACCCTGAAATGCAAAGTTCTATTATGCCATATGTGAAAGTATGGACTCATACAGGAGGTCAAAAAGCTCAATATACAAATGGAGACCGTTCAAACTTTTGGCTTGGCATTCCATTTGCTGACTCAGAAGACTTTATGGGTGGTATTTCAACTGTTGGTACTGTACAAATACAATATACTGGTGACAGAGACGGTCCAGATGAATTGAAAGCAAAGAAGTTTACAAAACCAATAGCACTTTTCACGGAAGATGCTCTTTTGAAGATTCGTTCGATGAAACCTGCTGGAGCTCCTCAGATTGCATAACGACAGCTTCCATCGAGCAGATTTTGGCAGCAGGTCAGTAAGTTGTTCTTGAACTGACTTCTCTCCGTCAAATATTGACAGTACGCCAGTTTTGACATAATATTGTATTATAAACTTTCCTTTAGTAATATCTGTAAGTTTTGAAGTTATATTTTTGTCTGCTTCAAGAACTTTCACCATCTCGGTTATACAACTTTCTTTGCTTTATGAAAATATTTAGGTTCAGCAAAGACTGCTATTCTATAACATTTTCCATTGTTTGTGTAAAGAACTATTCTGTCAATGTATTTGTATTGTTTGTGAGTATAAACTTTGTTTTGCTTCAATTCGAAGAGATATCCGAATACGTCCATCTTTTTATTCTAAGTAAAATGTCATTTCCG